CAAGGAGAACAAGTATGAATTCGCTGATACCTGATGTAAAAGGTTGTGACTTAACCATCACTCAATTCTAGCCTCCATCATTACTATGAAAACAGCATTCTCAGTGATAATCAGTTGAAAAAAAAAATAGTTGTCCCAAACAAAGTTAATATCAAATTGTTACTTATTTTATCTTGGTTTACGAGAAATTAAAATTCTTTTAAATTTTTCGTTGCATGATTTTCACTTATAGGTGTCAATAGTGAAAAGTGCATGTGCTATTGATAAGACCAAACGAAATAAGTTTCTCCTGAGAAACAGTGTACCGTTATTTCTTTCTCTATCCACTTATATTGCACGCATAGCCACAGGAGTGCATGTTTATTCATATTCTTAAGATGAAATAAAAATATAATGATTAGTTACGAAATATAAATATCACAGCATGAATGAGTATTTGTCACACATTCTATTTAATGGCTTCATCGATAGTAATAGAAACAAGTGACAACGAGTTCGATAGTCAACGAGAAGAGTTTCAATTGTTACAGAACGCTATTCCTCAGCAAACAGTGACGTCTCTATTTGCATGTGGACATCCATTAATTAGATCTCCAAAAGATGCTATTAAATTTCTTTTCCCCAAACATTATTACCATTTACGGCACGATATTGAACGTAAAATACTTCATCATGATGTGTCCCAACAAGAACTTGATGCTGCCGCTAAATTCGGTCGATTTTCTCAACGACCCAGTGATCTCTTTCTCAAAGTAAACCGAGCTCGGATACAAACAAAAAAATATCTTTTAAATTTTTCCTATTAATTTATAGCTATTCTACGGTGTAATTTGTACACTTCAACACAACCCATTAGCTGGTTGTGTATCACCATCATTAATTGGTTCGACAGGAGTAATTCCACTCACAATCATTTCTACCATCCCCGATATTATGTACCACTATTATCATGTAATTGTTCACGCTCAAAAAGAAATTTTATTTGCTACGATGTATTGGGAAAATAGTGAAAGTGCCAATATTATTAGCAAAGCTTTTCGAGATTTAAGTGAACGCGCTGGCTATGAAAATCGCCGTGTCATCATCAAACTCATGATGGATCATCCAACCATATCAAATGCACTGCATATTCATTCTATTATTCCATCAAATAAGTGGTCCTTTTACGGTATCCCTAGTCCAGAAGAAATATCAAATATTTCATTGGAAGTTCATAACTATCATCGTATCATTATGGGCACATTTCATGCGAAATTTTTAATTGTGGATCGAAAACTTGTTCTCTTGAATAGTAATAATGTTCAAGATCGACCCAATCTTGAAATGATGTCACAATTTGAAGGTGATATTGTCAATTCGTTTTACGACACATTTCTTATTTCTTGGTCGTTACCTTTTCAACCGAATCTTGTCTGTTTAAATGATAATGTACCAACGGAACAGTATTTTCATTTTGATATCGATAGTGCGGCTATTGCATCGGTAAAAGAATCGTCGTGTGAGGCAATAGCCCGAGTTCCATCACGATTCAAAAATGTCGAATTAGAAAAAACAGAGATCTATCTCGATGAACCCGAATTATCTTCGTTCGAGGATCAAGACTTCTCGCCTATTAAAGATAACAAATGCAATGGAGGTACTTTATCTGTTAATGTCTCTCGAGCGGCTAACTATAGTCGAGCTTTACATTTGCCAAATGTTCTTATCAAAGCAGCAAATAATATCGTGGACGCTGCGACCAAGTACAATACAGATTCACGATCGCAATCCATTCTCACGGAACATTTGAATAAATCTTCGAAACATGTTCGTTTTGTCACAGCCGATAAAAATATGTCGTCTACAGAAATCGAAGCATTGTCCTTAGAATTCAATCCATTTCTCTTTCATCGTCCACATGAACCGTTTCCTATTGCTTTAGTCAATCGATTACCTCAGGGTATACCTATCTATAGGGATACGACAAATCCACAAGATGCAGCCTGGATGGGTGCATTTCGATATGCCCAAAAATCGATTTTTATTCAGTCTCCGACGTTAAATGCTTCATCAGCTATTGATGGTATTATCACTGCTTGTCGACGTGGAATCAAAGTAACATTATGGCTTGGTTTGGGCTTCAATGATCTCAGAGAAGGTCGTGGAACATTTCAAGGAGGAACCAATAAACATGTCGTAAAGAAATTGTACAGAGAATTAATGAAAACCAACGATGGAACAGAGCAAAATCTTGAAACATTCTGGTACACTGCGAAAGGTGAATTGAACGATGATTTACTTTTGTTTTTCGTGAAAAAGAAAATTTTGTATAGACCAAATGCGTCCTCTTCATTTTCGCCAAAAGAAACGTAACTGTCACATTAAATTTATGTCAATCGATGGACAAGTTGCCATTATGGGTAGCGCAAATATGGACAGTCTATCGTGGTTTCATTCACAAGTAAGTGAATGAAAAATTGACTGCCACATTCTCAATATTTTGAATATTATAGGAGATCAATGTAATGATTGATTCACCTATGATCGTCAAAGATTGGATGGATGCTTTGTATAGAGATCAAGAGACTAATGCTTACGGCAGACTAAATAGCAATGGAATATGGCGCAATGCTCATGGACAGTTGAATCCTAAAAATGGCAAATAATATACCATGTGTCTTTTAATATGTCTCTGTCGATACATTCATTTTGTGAAACATGATCTACAAGAAATAGGGTGTGGGCGTGGTTGTGAGGTATGGACGCAGTTGTTGATGGAGATGTATGTGTAAGAAAAAAGTTACCAACATTCACATTCACTCTCAAAATGGTGAGTTAAGGAGCCCACAATGTCTAGCGTTTCTCCTTGCGCAAATGCATCTAAAAAGCGCACATTATGAATGACTTTTTTGTTCATGCAATAAAAAGGCTTCTGACGCTTATACACGTCGGCGACTCCCAAAAGGGTTAATGAAGAATTTAATTTTACTTATCTATGAAAAATCCTTATATTCAAATCGAATATTTCAAGCTTGTATTAAAGCATCCCACCCAAAAAATTGATTTCTAATATTTTATTAATTCATGTTTTAATCATTGAAAAAGCATTGATTTCTTAATTTTTATCAAATAAATTATGAGATAAATATTGGGGGTGAAAAAAACTTTTCGATTTATATTATCGAATCTATTACTTTAAGTATACCATTAGAAATTAAATAGAGAAAAAAAAAGTTACTACGAATAGTTTTCTAGATGAAAAAAGTACTTTTATCTTGGTCATAATAATACTATTACTATAAAATATTAATTCAATCGAATAATTCATTCAGTTATTTTCTTAAACTTTCTCTTATTGAACAAGTAATTAAAACAATGAGATTTGACGTAGTTTCAAAATTTCATTTAATCAACTAGCTAGAAACTTTTTTTTATTCTAAAAGATTAATACTTTCATATGGTAAGTTGAATCAAGGACATCACCAAAGTATGTTTATCTGTAATGATGATTTTCTTTCAAAAAACAAATTACTGTCGAACTTCATTTAATCGATACTCATCATCATATGTCAATGCAGACCGATATACGGCCTACATTTCCTTTTATTGATGTGGTATGTGTTATAAGAAGAAATATTCATATGAAGCAAAAAAATAAAATTAAATTAAAGACTTTGTAAAGTAGAATTGTTGTCTAAAAAAAAAGACATGAAAATTTTTTTCAATGATGGAGATGGTCGAGGTCGTCAGGGAGTCTCACGAGGGAAGGTCCCCAACTGATCAATCGCTTTTGCGTTGAGACCATGTGCATTATGTAGGTACAAATGAGCTATGAATATCCTGAAAAAAAGTTCGGGCTGCTAGCTTCTTGGT